AGGCTTTGGAGGATGTACCGTCTCTGTTGCAACTACTCATGTCTGCTGTCGTAGTGTGAAGGCAGTCACAGACAATATATAAACAAAAGAGTGATTGTGTTCCATGTATCACGAAATATTCTCATTTTAATTTTTTAATAATAGACTATTTTTAGAGCGGTTTTACGTTCACAGCAAAATTAAACAGAAAGTACAGGGAGTTTTCATATAGTCCCCCCCCTGCACATGCACAGCCTTCTCTACTGTCAACATCTCATACCAGAATGGTGCATTTGTTGAATCTGCATTGTCACATCATCACCATAAGTATACACTTTGCATTAGAGTTCACTCTTGTTGTGAAGTCTATGGGTTTTGACAAATGTAATGACATGTATCTACCCTTATAGTTTCATATAGAATAGTTTTCACTACCTGCTATAGACTGTATGTTTGTGTCTCCCCTAAAATTTATGTGTTAAATCCTAATGCCCAATGTAATGGTATAGGAGATAGAGCCTTTGAGAGATGATTAGGTCATCGTGGTTGAACCCTTGTGAATGGAATTAGTGTCCTTATAAAAGAGGTCCCAGAGAGCTTCCTTCCCCTCCTTCTACCAAATGTGAACAGCAAGAAGATGGCTGTGAACCCAAAAGCAGGCTCTTACTAAGTACCAAATCTGCTGGTGCCTTGATCTTGGACTTCCCAACCTTGAGAACTGTGAGAAATAAATTTCTGCTGTTCATAAGCCACCCTGTTTATGGTATTCCGTTATTGCAGTCCAAAAAATTTAAGATACTTCCATAATATTCCTCTGAGCTTTGCCTGTTTATTCTTCCCCCTACCTTAACCCGTGACAACCACTAATCTTTTTACTGTCTCCATTGTTTTCCCTTTTCCAGAATATCATATAATTGGAATCACACAGTATATAGCCTTTTCAGATTGACTTCTTTCACTTAGTAGTATGCATTTAAGGTTCCTCCATGTTTTTCATAACTTGATAATTCATTTCTTTTTAGCACTAAATATTTCATAATCTGAATGTACCACAATTATTTATTCACCTACTGAAAGATATCTTGGTTGTTTCCAAGTTTTGGCTATTATGAATAAAGCTGTACACATCCAGGTGCAGTATTTTACAGGGATATAAGTTTTCAACTTGCTTGTATAAATATCAAGGAACACAGTTGCTAGATTCTATGGTGAGAGCATAGTTTTGTAAGAAACTGCCAAACTCTCTTCCAAAGTGGCAAGACCATTTTGCATTTCCAACAGAAGCAAATGAGATTTCATGTTGCTTCACATCCTCACCAGCGTTTGATGTTGTCAGTGTTTTAAATGTTGGCTATTCTACTAGGTGTGTAGTAGTATCGCACTATTGTTTTATTTGCAATTCCTTAATGCCATATGATGATGAGCACCTTTTCATATACCTATTTGCCATCTGTATATCTTTTTTAGTAAGGTGTCTATTCAAGTTTTTGGCCTATTTTTTAATCAGGTTCTTTGTTTTCTTAAAGTTGACTTTGAAGAGTTCTTTGCATATATTTTGTATAACAGTGTTTATCAGGTATGTCTTTTGCAAATCTTTTCTCCCAGTCTGTGGCTTATGTTCTCATTCTCTTGATGGTGTCTTTTGCAGAGCAGAAGTTCTCATTTTAATGACTAATTTATCAATTTTTTTCTGTCACAGATTGTGCCTTTGGTGTTGTATCTAAAAAGTTGTCACCAAACCCAAGGTCATCTGGACTTTCTCCTATGTTATCTTCTAGGAGTTTTTATATTTTTGCATCTTACACAAACACCTATGATCCATTTTGAGTTAATTTTTGTGATGGGTGTGAAGTCTTTGTATAGATTTTTTGGGTTTTTTTTTTTTTTTACATGTGGATATCCAGTTGTTCTGGCACCACTGTTGAAAAGACTATCTTTGCTAAATTGTATTGCCTTTGTTCTTTTGTCAAAGATCAATTGATTATATTGGTGTGAGTCTATATCTGGGCTCTCTATTCTGTTCCATTGATCTACTTACCTATTCTTTCACCAATAGCACACTTTCTTGATTTTTGTAGCTTTATAGTAAGCATTGATGTTAGGTAGTGTTAGTTTTCCAACTTTGTTCTTCTCCTTCTATATTGTGTTGGGTATTTCAGATCTTTTGCCTCGCCATATACTTTAGAATCAGTTTGTCAATATCCAAAGAATACATCAGTGGGATTTTGATTGGAACTGTGTAAAATCTATAAAGTTGGGAAGAACTGACATCTTGACAATATTGAGTCTCCTTATCCATGAATGTGGAATATTTCTCCAACTAATTTAGTTTTTCTCTTATTTCTTTCATTAGAGTTTTGTAGTCTTCTTCATATAGATCTTATCATATGAATGTTAAAATTTAAATTTTGAGTTTCAAAATAAGCACCTGGAATTTTTATTGCTATACATTGAATTTATAGATCGATTTGAAGAAAATCGAATCTTTACTGTGCTAAGTTGCCCCCATTCATAAATACATTATCTCTGCAATTATTCAGATCTTCTTTTATGTCCTGTAACGGAGTTTTTGAAATTTTCTCTAGAAAGGCTTTGTACATTCTACCTTAGGATAATTGCTGGATAATTATAGTTTTTATTTCTACCATGAGTGATTTCTGTTATATTTACTAGATGACTATTAACAGTGGAGATGAAGCTTAGAGAGTTGTTAAATTGATCTTAGATCCAACAACCTTGCTGAATCCTCTAATTAGTTTTGAGAATTTGTTAATTCTATTAGGTTTTCTATGTAGATCATCATATTGGTAAATAATGAGAATTTTATCTTTTTTTATGATCCATCACCTCTCAATTTATATGTATTAATTTAATTTGAAAGTGGTATGATGGCACAAAAAGATTAAAATTCAATATTTATTAGCTACTTCAAAGCTTTATAAAATAGCTTCTGAATTGTCTAAAGAAAATGTGGCATCAGCAAAATCAAAGTTTACCTAAAAATGACTGTAACAGACAACACAAATCCTAAAATGCCTTTTATGATGTCTACAAACCCTCTTACTTGAGATTTCTCTCTATTTCTTGTGGTCAAGAAATAGAAGTCAAGTTTGAATCCCGAACCTTATGGATAATTCCTTATTTGTAGCCTCAACAAAGGGATTTTAGCTGTTTCTGGTCCAGCTCTGGGCCATGCAACCACCACGAACCACTTGCTTCAGAATCACCTCATGTGCCTGATAAAAATGAAGATTCCTAGCCTTACTTTAGGATTTAAAAAGTAAGACATCTCTGCTGGTATTATCTGGACATCTACAGTTTTAACAAGATCCCTCAGTGATCCTTATGTCCAAAAGTTTGAGAATCATTATGTTGGGGACAGAGGGAAGAAACAGAGAAACTGATCTCCGGACAAATGGACATCACAACAAAAGTGCAGCCTCGATCTTCTCTTTGCTCTCCTCTAGAAGCCTGGGAGAAAAACTGGAAACTTCCATTTTCCATTCCTACTTACAACAACCTTGACATTCTTTATGATACCTATTGACATATAAGAGAAATAGGAAATGACTGGCCCATAATTTATCTGTCTACCTAGAGCAAGCCACTGTATTGGTTTGGAGACTTCAGAAAAGTTAATGCTGTTTCTTTCAGGAAATAGTAGAGATAGTCTCTCGTGGGCATCATTACTAAATAATAGAACCTGAAATTTATCGGGGACTCCTGCCACAATAAAAAAGCTTGGAGAAAAGCTTGGAGACATGAAGGTGCCAAGTCACTGGCTTTAATTCCATCGTGGGGACATAATGACTTCAGGGCAAAGCAAAACCCCAGGCCCAATACTGGGTCAGTAGTTTCCTGTTTCCACTGAAGTATGATCACTGGTCCAAAAACCTCATGAGGATTAAAGATAAGCACCAGATAATAATTTTACTAGAATGCATTCCAGTAATTTCTAAAAATGATTATGATATAAACATTAGAAGTAAGGGAAAAAATTCACCTAGAGGTTTAGATTTTTCATTTTTAAAAAGCCACAGGTACTACAAACATAGCTTATACTTGATGTGAAACCTCACATTTCAACACCTGGAGTCATTAGTATGGACATAATTAAATAATAAGAATTTAGTGTCTCAAGTCTATCTTCATTTAGCCCTTAAGGCAAAATAAAAAATTAACAAACTAGTTTCCTTCTAGAGAAAACCTTTATTACACATCATTGAATTCATTTCTATTTGAACAAACAGTACACGAAACAAAGATTAATGTTGTGAAAGTCCCTGGAACTTCTAATCAGTGTTCTGCAAGAAGTAGGGACTTTGTTTTTGTGTCTTTTTAAGGCATACATTTCCCACTTATTTTTAATTTTTGAGTATTGTTTTACAAAATATTTTTAATGTGTGTTATAGAACCTCGCCCCGTGAAACCACAGTTCCTGACCCTAAAATGCTACTCTTTCCTGTGAGATTGAATGTGCTTATGAAGGGCACAGTACATTACACAGATCTCACAAGGCCGTACAAGTACGAATAAAACAATCCTTGTGGGATCAGATATGCATTTGGCATGTGCTTTAATTTTTATATATGTATAGAATACTCTTTCAACTTTGTACTTTAACATTGAAGGAGAAGATAAAACTTACATATGAATACTAAAAATCCTGATCCACTCCAGAACTGAAAGAAGCACATTATAACAGTTATCCCTCAGAACCAAATATTGGACTGTTAGCTGGTGATGGTTATTTCTTTCTTATTCTTCCCTGGTTTTGAAATGCAATGATTACTGGATATACAGCAACCATCCCCTGTCTTTCAGGGATGAACCTCTGGGAGTGGCCCAGGCCAGGGTAGTGAGTTGTCTGAAGTCACTGTCAAACCAGACATTGTTTTCTACTGATGACACAATCAGCAGTCAGAATAGCTGGAAGCAAGAGGTTAATAAAGAATAAAGAGGGGCATAGAGAACACATTCTAGAACTATGGCAAAATAACGAACAAGAATCCAATAGCTTCCCTAATCAAAGTTAGAGTTTTAAAAAAAAACTAAACCCAAAATAAAGCTGAAAAGGCATTAAATATTTCTTTTAAAAACATAAACCTAGCTCTTGATTAATTATAGCTATCAATTTGCTCAAAATAATAGTCTTCAAACATATTACACCTGATCTTAAATGTCCATATAGTCTCCCAACTCAGGTATACATTATATTTCCTCTGTAGTGCAAATCAGCCTGATAGCTGATTCTACTTTTTACAACAACAGACTATAGATACCGGAGGGTCGTCTTCTAATATGTATTTTCCAGAATTGGGTAGATCCTTGCACTCTGATATAAATGTGCGAAGTTTAGTCTTTGGGAAGCCATTTTGTTGATAATGCTATACAGAAAAATTAAAAAAAAAAACTGATTAATAAACCCCTCGAAAACAGCTTTATTCTAAATTTAAAATAAAGTGTTTAGCTCTTTCTAGAGGAATAGCTTAGTCACATTTCAGGGAGATGTAGTGTCTAGAGCCACTCTTAGGTTCGGCTAAGGTAAAGTGGGTCTAGGATTCTGCAGTGCCCTCCTGGCCTCTCCTTTGTGGGCCCGGTTCAACCCAAAATGAACATGTCCAATCTGAATCTGAGCTCTCCTTCCAGGGAGAATCCAGCCTGCCCTGTCCCAAGTCTGAGAACCTCTGTCACTACTTTGCCATGCAACGCATGACTTCCAGGCTAGTATGAAGCAAGCACCCTGGATGAAACCTGGTCCAGGCCACAAGCCCAGTTGATGTAGATTAACAACGGTGTTGTTGGGGGCTGAGGGATGGGTCAACCCACCCTTCCTCTGAGGACCTCAGCACAACCCTGACACTCCTGAGCTGGTGCAGGTGTCTGGACAAAGATCTGAACGAGGTATGGGGCCTTTCCAGTCTGTACACCCTTTTGGAGTCTCTCTTCTGGGCAGACAAGCTTGTTTAAAGACCTCGTATTTATACCAGTTTGAAGTCTAAGATCTCTAGAATGTGCCCTGACCAGAAAGGATCAGAAATAACTTAGCTTGCCCATTTGGAAGTGCTCTGAGCCCAAGAAAAGAGGTTAACATCTAAATTATGAATATCAGGCTTGTGTCATGGAGAGTTGTCAACTCACATTACTCTTAGAGATACTGGATGTCACCCTCAAATAACATATAGTTCTCTGCATGCCAAGTGGAAGGTAGTACATTTTTAGAGCATCATGGGAGGGGCTTGGACAAGTACAATTATATTCTTTCCCAGTCACCTTGGTGACTCTAAATACACATCTGCCAAGCAAGTATTGAGGACAATCAGTTTCTGATATCTGATTCGGTAAGAATGAATTCATAGCCCTGGCTTCACAGGCAAGGTATCATAACTATCAACTTATAATCCATCAACTCCTAAGGGCTTTCTCTTTATTACTGGACCATTCACGTGGCACCATGTTCCATTACTCCTCTCGCACCTAGAAAGAAAAGTCTGCAAGTGTGAGTATCTATGGACCTAACAGTATAAGGTTATTGGAAATTTAAATATCTATGGATATTTATTCTGCCTTTGCATATTTCAAAGAGCTCAAAACTGATTTTTAAAATATCCCATGTGGATGACAATATAAATAATAACAGATTTTGAAATCAGGTTCCCAACCGTATAACACATACATGACTAGTATTGGATACGTCAGTCCTTTCTCTACCCTGAAGAAATTAACATTCTACCAATTCCCCTCCCCCAAACGGTATTATATCTTATTGTCACTCTACAAGTTCTAGAAAATTCTGCCACTTACGGCTACTGATGAACCTACCTTAATTGTTTCATATGTATCAGTGATCAGTGCAATGAAAAGACTTAAAATCATATATATAAAGAGGCTTATGAATGTGTAGAGGTAAATTCTGCTAAACAGCCAGACCAAGTAACTTTTTTGCTGCATTTCTGCAAATGTGGCAAACATATCATCTCCATTTATCAGAGAAAAAAGACTCTCGGAGACCGTGTTCAGAGAATGGAACTAAAAAAAAAGAGAGAGAGAGAAAAGCTTACTTTATTCCACACTCCTTCCCATGGGAATCTTCATTCTTGACACTGTATTAAAAATAAAGGGACCATATATGCCAAGCTACTCTTTCAAAGCAATAACTTGAGGTAACTACAAGCATTTGCTTTGTGATACAACATGTACAAACCTACTATTTTTCCTGGGGAAAATAGCTGCTTCTTGATACTCTTAACAGAAGCAGGCTGAATTAAAGGCAGAAGGGACTGGTAGACACCCTCAGTGCTTTTCAGAGTCAAGCCTTCCCCTCCCCTTTACCTTCATGGAAAGAGTTCCTTGAAATGCTTCTGCAGAGAAACCCAGGTCCCAACCACACATGCTCATACTTCTCGTATTAAAATTCATTCCCCTTAAGTTAAGACTATAACTTCCATTCATTCCATTATAGTTAAGACTATAACTCCAGGAACAAATTTTCAAATATTTCCGCAAGTTTCTCCCTATACTACTTTTTAAAATAGTCACATTTCAAGAAGCCTTACCTAAATAACCTACTCTAATACATATTGATGAATCAAATTGACTAAACTTACTTCACTGGTGGTAAAAAGGACTGGCATATTCCACAAAAGAAATTGAGGCAGATGAGTGCCTCAAGTGGGTCGAACCTTACCGGTTTATAAACATGGCAATAGGTATACTATTTCAACATTTTCAGGCTAAGACAGAATAAAAAGAATTCCTTTGAAAAGACAAAACAAGCCAGTGGCACTATTCTAAGAGCTTAATGGTGCCAGGGAAAAAAGGTGTTTAGCAGTACCTTTTCATGGTAAGGCCCCAGCACAATCCATCCGCAGAAGCAATAGCCAAAATAAATCATAGCTGCACAGCAGCAGAACCTCATAACGTTGGGCAGTGCTGCCTGAAGTGTCAGAATAAGGAGCTGGGAAAGTGAGAGAGGTCATTAAAATCCTTTCGTCCTTCAGCCAAAGCAGTGTAACAACTGTGAATGAGAAAAATACCAACAGCACGGAGAGCCATGAAATTCCTTACATTGTACTTCTGAAAGAAACTGAGGTATCGGATGACTCCAAGCCACACGAGCAACGTAGAGGTCCCAAGAAGTATGCTACAAACATCATAACTTGTTAGACTCTAAAACAGAGTGGAAAAAATAATCAGAAATTTATTAGCAAGAAATATTTATTGGGTAGCTATGAGTCAGGCACCGTTGTAGGTTCTAAGGACAAAGCAGTGAACAGAAAAAATTCCCTACCCTAATGAAACTTACATGCTAATGAGGGGAGAGAGATGACAGTAATAAAAAAATAAACACTGATATATTAGCTAATGTTAAGTGCTGAGGAGAAATTTAGGAGAAGGGTTAAGGAATGTGTATGGGCTGCATTTTAAATAGGGTGATCAGGGAAGGTCTCACTAAAGAGGTGGCACTTGAGCAAACACCTAAAGGGAGTGAGAGAGCAAACCAAACAAAATCAAGAGGAAGAGCTTTCTAGGCACAGGAACCAGCAAATGCAAAGGCTTCAAAGCACCTGGCAAGACAGTGAGTCTGGCTGGAGTGAGTAATGGGGAGAGAACAGAGTCACAGAGGTTAGGGGACAGATAGTTAGGGCCTTGTGGTAATTTAACAACTTTATCTTTTACTCTGAATAGATTAAGGAGATTTGAGAGCCTCGAACAGGAGTGATATGATCAAACAGTGACTACTATGGTTGAGAGCAGATTGTTGGAGGCACGAGAAGGCTTTTGCAATAATGTAAGTAAAAGCTGATGGTGGCTTAGACCAGGCTGGTGGTAGAGGTGATGAGGTGACTTTTGAAGATAGATCAGTAGGATTTCATCTTGAATTAGATGTATGGATGAGGGGATTAGTGAAAGAGAGGAATCGAGGATGAATCTATGGCTTCTGTCTTTAGCAACTGAAAAAAGTTGGTATTAACTAAAGTTAGAAAGAAGATGCAGGTTTGGACTGTGGAGGTGGGGGTCTTAGGAATTCTTTTTTAGGTATGTTAAATTTGAGAGGCCAAGTAGACATTCAAGTGAAGATGTGGAATAGACAGGTAGATATTTGAGACTGGAATTCAGGGAAGAATTCCAAGCTAGAGACACAGATTTAGAAATCATTGGCAAACAGATACTATTTAAAAACATGGAACAGAATGAGATCATGAAGACAGTAGCAGAAAATAAAAGATGTCCAAGCACTATGCATTGATGCACTATCACTTTACTAGAGTGGGACAATGAGAGGAAACCAGCAAAGAAAAGTCAGAGGGCCAGCCTATGATACAGGAGAAAAACAGGTAAGTGATAGCCCAGTAAAAAAAGTGCATCTACAAAGAGGAAGTGCTTGCAGTGTTAAAAGCTGCTGATAGGTCAAAATGAAAAATCAATAACTGATTATTAGACTCAGCAACGTGAGAAGTCCTCAGAAAGAACACTGTCCATGGAGTGGCAAGGCAGCCTGATTGGAACAGGCATAAGAGAGAATGGGAGAAGCAGAATCAGAAACAAGGTTAACTACTCTTTTGCTATATAAAGGGGAGCAGAAAATGGGGAAGTATCAGGAGGGAGAAATAGGTAGAGATTGTGTCTTTTTGAAAGGGAGGAAAAAACATGCTAATGGGAATGACATGGTAGAGAGTAGAAAATTGATGCATGAGAAAAGGAAGAATAGGTGGAGCTATGCCCGCAAGCAAATGGGGACAGCATGTGGTAGGCAGGTGGAGGAGTTGGCCTTGAATAGTAGCTTAAATAACATATCCACAGTGACAGAGAAAAAGCAGAGTGTGTAGACACTGATGTTGGTAGGTAGACAAAGTGGGAGTTGGTAGAATTTCTCTTTTTTTCCTATTGTTCTTGTGAAATAGGAAGTGAGGTGATCAGCTGAGAGTGGGGATGAGGCAGGGATGTTAGAGGTTTCAGAAGAGAAGAAGACATGAAATTATCATCTATATGACAGGGAGAGTGAATAGCCTAGAGAAATGTGGAAAGATTATTGGATATCATTAAGAGATCATTGAGGTTTATGATAGTTGAGGTTGGTAAAAATCAAGATTTGCTGCAAATCTCCCCCTACTCCCCTACTCCCTATTTTTTTTTTGTCCCTAAAGTTAAATATCTATTCTGATTATATATACAACAGCTATGACATGGTGGCAGCTGCTCCGTGTACACCTAAACCTATTCTCTTCTTCCAAGGCATATGCCTGGGCTGTATTCCCCAGAGCCCTTTGCAGTTAAATGTTACTAAATTCCCTCCAGTGGAATGTGAATAGAAATGAAGGCTGCCACTTGGAACCAAGGCTGTTAGACTGTGGAAGAGCTACCACCAGACCATTCTTTTGCTTACACTTGCTGCAACCTGTTTGTGAGATGACCCAGCATCAATCATGCAGTCTGGGTGAGCCCTTAATGGCTGGCAGAGAAAGAAGATGGGAGAAACTTGGGTCTCTGAATGACTGAGTGGAGCTGAGTGACTCGCCAACCTGGAAAACCCATCCTGACTATGACATGAGAAAAAAATAAGTTCCTATCTTATCTGAGCCATTGCATTTGTGGGTCTCTGCCCAAGAATCTGAATTATAACAGGCTGATACTCATTCTTAGTTGCAGCCAAGCCTAGAAAAACATAAATTTGAACAAGACTAGTTTGAACAATATTACTTTCTTAATTTGATTTTTGCTTTGGGGAGGTTGGGGGAGAGGACTGATGTCTAAGATGGGTTAGTTCTAACTTAAAATGGAAACCCTTGTAGCATATCAATGGAAAAAATAAGAAATGGAGACATTCTCAATTTCAACGGACAAAGGAAACAACTGCAGGCACTCTCACAATAGCATCTTGGCCTCACTCCCCACCTCAGTCCTATTCTACTTTTGTTGAAGGTTCTGGCCTTTCTTATAAAATAACAAAACAAAACAAAACAAAAACCCCACCTCTTACCTTAGTTACCTTGATGTCTGTATATATTTTGGTGTGTGTAAAAATTCACAGGCCCCACCCCAGAGTTTAGATTAAGTGGTCTAACTTGGGCATTTTTACCAGGTACCCAAATGATTCTAATGCTGAAGTCTGTGGATCGCACTTTGAAAAACCCTGTCTAAAAGATTTCCTGACTAAATTTAAGAAAATTACTGTTTTGATTCCAAGTTTATTCAATACAATGCTTGAAAGAAATAATTTACTCTGCAAATTCTCATATTATGGAAAAATAAATTACTATTAATGCAAATCTGATACTCACAGTGGCATAAATAGGAAAAGAATTTACCTTGGCTTGGATTTCCATTTTCAGAATTGATCCAATGATTGTCAGTAAATCACTAATAATAAGCATAATGTACCATCCATTGACAAATTCCATTCGATCAGAAACAGAAACCTCCGTCTTATAATGGAGAAGAAAAAAATTGACAAATTCCTTCAGGAAAGAGGGGAAGCACAGTGAATTTATTTGTCAATCGAAATGTCTGTAACATTCCTAGAATGCAACACCCCCTACCTGTTGAAGCCGAAGTCCTCTAATCACAGATCGAAAGCACAGGATTAATGAAACCAAGCATATCAGAATAACGAAGGCATCAAAGATCATCATGTAATGAGTGTTCCTTTGAACTGAAAGGAAAAGGATTGCATGCTTATGAAGTGGGACATTAATACGGTGACGTCTACTTTTTTCTTTTCATTTCTAGCCTGGTTTGTTTTAACTGCTGCATTGCATACCACAGCATAGATGTACAATACTTTATTTATATGGACACTCAGATTGTAATCTGTTTTTCCCTACTATAAATAAGTCTCCAAATCCTCTGGGGGCACAAGTACAAGTGATTCTTTAGGTGAATGAATATCTAAAGGTGGAATTGTTGGGTTAAGGTATATCATATTTCTAAAAACAGATCATAAGAAATTGCTCTCCCAAAACATCATGTCTGTTTATATACCTGCACATAACTCCACAACTTCTCCACCACCGGATATTAGTAATCTTTTACTTTTGCCAGTCAAAAGAGCAAATCTATCATTCTCAACAATTTGAAATGCTATCTTTATCATGTACCAAATTATTGTATATATTCAAGTACCATATCTTACCCTTTTGATGTTTTTGTGTATTTTAATGCTGAAGACGAATACCTCTCATTACTCTTTTCTGGAATTTTTGCTGGTTATTCTTGCTTGTTTACTTTTCCTTATATATATTCTTTAGGATCATATTGTCAAATTCCAATAAAAACCTGACTGGTAATTTTGGGGAGGGGAATCGTGTCAAATTTATAGATTCATTTAGGAAGATTTGACATACTGAAGAAGGTTGAATCTCATCCAGAAACATGGTGTGCCTTTCTATTGGTTCAGTTCTTTTTTTCTTTTTTGCACCCTGAAGTTTTTTCAAATTTTATATGGCTCCTTTACACTCTTTTTTTAGGGTAATTTAAATATTCCAAGCATTCTTTACACAAAGGCAACAAAGAGAAAAAGCCCTGATAAATGTTCTTCCCATTAGTATTTAAAGAAAGTTAAAAGTCATTTTAAAAATTGCCACAACCATTAATCAAAGATCTCTATGAAACAGCTTGTGGTCTCTTGTTCTTTATATAGTTAGTCTTCCTGCATATCCTGTTACAATATGCTTATCTAGATAATAAAATATTTATTAAGACCCTATTATATGCTGGGTGTCTTACTAGGTGCTAAAGATACAATGGTGAACAAGCTAGACAAGGCCTTGACATGGCAGAACTCTATTCTACTACAGTGAGACAAGCAAGGAAGTAAACAAGTAAATGAACAAAATACTTTCAGATAAGAGTGATAGGAAGAAAATAAAGCATAATAGCTAACATGTACTAATATGCTGCACATAGTTCTAAGCACTTTATATGAATTAACTCATTCGATCCTCACAACAACCCCAATCATTATCCTCATTTTCAGGTGAGAAAACTGAAACACAGAGGTCACGGAATTTGTCCAGGGTTACACAGTTGGCGAGTGGCAAAGTCAGGATTCAAACCTTTGCAATCTGCCTCCATTGTCTACCACTCTATATTAGTGGTTCTTTGCATGCCTTGGGAACTTATTAGAAATGCACATTCTTGGGCCCTACTCTAGAGCCACTGAATCAGAAACTTTTCACCAGCTCTCCAGGTGACACTAATGTTTGAGAACGAATGCTCTATATGAAGGAGGTTTGTGTAGGGGAATGAGGACATTTATATCGCATAGTAAAGGAAGGCCTCACCAAGGGGGCATTAGGTTTTAGGTGAGACCTAAGTGATGACACAGAGCCATCCATGCAGAGATTCTGGAGAATCGCAAGTGCAAAGCCCTGACCAGCATAAGTGAAACCAGATGAAGAGAGGGGGGCAGAAGTCTTAGCCATAATATGCTCTGATACAGAGTTTGTCTTTATTGAACAAGTTAGACTGCTCTGTACTGATAAAGCACTTAAGAATAGTTCTGTAATGAAGTATCTTATTATATTGGTCAAGGGGCCAATATAATATCCTTGTGTAACAAGGATAATTGTTACACAAATGTATAAATCTACTTTAGAAAAACTTAAAAACACAGAAACAAACACTTGTGAGAAAGCCTATGTGTCGGGCACTTTCATATGCTCTCATTTTCTCTATTCTAAAGTTTGTGGAGAAGTATTACATTGTTTACAGATGACAACAGAATAGGCTTGTTTCAAATAAACAGTAATTGAAATAAAATTCGTGATTCAAGAGACTCATATATTTGAAGTTACTTATTAGTGAAAGAATACTAGAATTAAGAAATTTTATTTTATTTACCCCCACCATCTCACTTTACCACTTCTGTACTCAGTGGATCAATCAGTAGGAATCCTTAAAATAATTACTAACCAAGTGTGGTATGAGTAAAGACTACCTATCTGCACATCCTAAGCCCACCCCAGACCTACTGACTGTCCTACATGTTGCTGGGAAAACTGCATCTTAGGTACCTGGGCTCACTAGAATCCAAGAACCCCTGACCTAGTTATTAAGTCCAGCACAACATACCATTCAGTTACTTACAAAGGACTAGAAAATGAGATAGATCAATCCTATCCAGTCAATGATCTCCAGTTAGCTCCAAAATTTTTGATGCTATATCAAACTACATCTGAATTTGTGTCCATATTTCTAGGAAGGTAACCTTTCTTCATCCAGTCTACCTTTTGACCTATATAAAAGACAACTATCATGTGTGGGGTGCTTCAGGGTCAAATCCTGCTTGACTATACAGCCAAAGGCACCAAGATTTTCTTCTGAGCCTTAGTTTCTTCATTTATAAAAATAGAGATGCTGCCTGTCCCAAGGATATTTTAAAATATTAAAAATGCAGTAAGAATTCAATACTTATTGGTTTGGGCATACATAATTTCATCTATTTATTTATTTATTTATATTTTTATTTATTTATTTTTTTTGATGGAGGACTTGCATGTATTTTTTTTTTTTTTAAGTAAGGAATAGGCCAATGAGGGCACATAGAGAAGTCAGGAAAAGTCATTTCAGTTACTAATAACTTATGTATTGCCTGGAACATTGAATATCTACAATGAATTGATCTTCTTGCAGAGAATTAGGGATGTGGAAATGGTACAATTCTTTTATTTGATGCTTCATATATTCCTGGGACCAGTAATTTCACAACTATTTTGAAAACTAGTAAAATATATCAGTTACCTGATCCAGACACATGCCAGTCTTTACATTCTCTCATGGAAATGTCATTGTCTAAATTTATCTTAATTCTTCCACTATGGGCTCTGTTGTCAAATGTTATCTGCAAAGAAAAGAAAAAGGGTCAAAACATACCTATAGTTTTTGAAGCCAATATGCCTCCATGCATTAATTAGGAAACAATTCTTTCTTTGTGAGAGGAGACCCAGATTCTCATCTCCAACATATTGTTAATTCAATTCAACCTTGAGAAGTTCACTTTCTTTCTCTGTGAAATGAGAAGTTCGAACTATGTCTCCTACTTTTTAGTGTCTAAAATCCTATGTTTCTAGGACAACTTTAAAACAAGAGAACTTCCCTCTACTTGCTATCTTAGTACCTCCAGATGCCCTCTCGATATGAGCAAGAGCTGGGACAAAACTTTCAGTTATAAAATAAGTAAGCCACTGAGATATAGTGTAGGACATAGGGAATATAGTCAATAATATTTTAATAACTGCATGGCAACAGATGGTTACTAGACTTACTATAATGATCATATCATAAGGTATATAAATATTTAATCACTATGTTGTATACCTGAAACTAATATAAGATTATTTTCCAACTATATTTAATATATTTTTTAAAAGAGCTGGCACAACTATGCTTTTTCCCACCTTCCAGGAGGTCCTCAGCTAAGGATAGATTTTTAGTGTTGCAATTTAACACAGAGGTTCATTATTTCTGTCTCAAAACATTTCAGGTGGAGCTTTTTGAATTTTCCTTCTGGACCTAGATTTCTTAGTCACTCTAGAACCATGAGTATTACAAAGAATGTGGTCACAGGGAATTGACAGCCATGTCTTGCTTCAAGAATAACCATGTAGGACACCAGGCACCAAGCAGGACAAAGCCATGCCAGAACACCTTCCACAGTCCTCTACTCTT